ATTTACTCTATCACGGTCTTATGATCGTGAAGAGGAATCTGGGGTAAGTGATCATCTCTGCTTTCAGTCGAATACTTGGAGGTAGCTCAAGGAAATTCTAGTTTACAAGGCTCCCAATGAAGTCAGGAGAAGGTACAATTGTTCCAAGTCATTATCCCTGAGTACGGAATCCAACATTTTTGCTACCAATATCACCGTCTTCAGATTTGGAAACTGCCCTTCCCCCACTGTGTCAGTCCTTTCCCCACCCAGCTCTTCCCCTTTATTTCTTTTTAGAGCCCGTGTAGCTGCTTTCCATCATAGCTACTTTTTCTTCTCAGGAAACTTATTTTTTCCCTTTTGAAACATGGACTATATTCTTAAATGTAATGATTGAGGGTGGGAATTCCATATCAAGTTGGCAAGACACATAGTGTTTGACATTCAGATTATTACATGAAGAGCTCAAGTATATATTCTGTACCTGTGGCTTTAGTTATTTAAAAACATTTACCTTGGAGGAGTAATATAGGAGGTCATGGCATGCCACGGCCAACTTGGAGTATTTGGGAAAGTATGAATTCTAGTGAAAAAATGCTGTCTTAAGGAGGACACGTTATATTTAACATTACAGCTGGATGCAGGAGAGGGGAACTCCATTAGGAATGAATGAATTTGTTGGAAAGTTGCTCGTAATAAAAAGAATGAAAGAGAAGTGAAGAGAATTCTAATCAACTTGCATGACACCCACATTCCTTGTCTTCACATGGATGCAAAGAATAGGTTCTTAGATTTAAAACAGGATAAGATAAACTCCCCAGAAAGAAAAGAAAAGAAAATGGACAGAGGACAGGAACAGGAATTTCACAAAAGCTCTACTGCCAATGGCAGTTAACGTGTGAAGTTACTCAAGACCTGATAAACAATCAAAGAGGTGGAGATCAGAGTGAGCCTGCTTTTCATTTATTTACCCACTTGCTGAAGATTGAAGAGTTTGATGGTAGGTGGAGTGTGAGTGTGGGAAGAAGTGGGTGTTGACTGCTGATGGGCACGGAGTGGCTGTGTTTCCCTGGAGGGCAATTGGACTCTGTGGGTCAAGAGTCGACAGAGCATATCTGTCAGCCTAGTGCAGTGGTCGGCAAACCTTGGCTCACGAGCCACATGCCTCAATCAGATGGAGGACATTTTTAGCAAAGGCCAGCTTAGGAGTACCCTGATTAAGTTAATAACAATGTACCCACCTATATAGTTTACGTTTAAAAAACGTTGCTCTCCAAAGAAATGTCGATTGTTGCCCTGTGGACTAAGAGTTTGCTGACCACTGACCTAGCGAATCTCCTGCTGAGAATTCTTACCACAGGGAAATCACCTGTGCCTTCTAGTCAGCCGGTAGCTCTGTTTGTGTATGCCTTCTGCTCCAATCACATCTCTCAGGGACAGATAGCTCGTTAAAAGAATAGGGAAGGAGTCACACCTGGGCTGTGGACTGAAAAGAGAAGCAGGGACGAGCTGGGTTGAAATGATGGTCCTTCAAGGGTCCCTAGGTCCTATGAGGTGATAGGGACTAAACTTTTCCCGCTGGAGAAGGGCTACAGCAGTGGTCGGCAAACTCATTAATCCACAGAGCCAAATATCAACAGCACAACGATTGACATTTCTTTGGAGAGCCACATTTTTTAAACGTAAACTTCTTCTCACGCCACTTCTTCAACATAGACTCGCCCAGGCCGTGGTATTTTGTGGAAGAGCCACATTCAAGGAGCCAAAGACCTGCATGTGGCTCGTGAGCCTTCGTTTGCCGACCACGGAACTAGCTTGATGGTGTCCTCTTGAGTTCTTAGTAATACCGGAAGAAGGGTATTACTCACGTTTTAATCTTTCCATCTACTTAGAACTTCTTTCAGCAATGTTTTATTGACGTTATAAAAAATATAAGTCTGGAAAAATCTTTTGTTAGGTTTATCCCTGAGTACTTCATCACTTTTGATGCTATTGTTTATGGTGTTATTCAAAAAGCTTAAGTTCGGATAGTTGGTTGCTGGTATGTAGAAATGCCTGATTTTTGTATGTTGACCTTGCAACCTTGCTGTCCTTTGATTGCATTCTGCAAGCTTGCTGAATGTATTAGTTCTAATTGCTTTTTTGTAGATTCTGTAGGATTTTCTCTACAGGTGCTAATGTCATACGCAAATAAAGACTGTTTAATTCTCACCCCGGGGATATGTGTTTTTATTGATTTTTTTTTATAGAGAGAGAGAAGAAAGGGGAGGTAAAAAGAGAGAGAGGGAGAGGGAGAGGAAGAGAAAGAAGGAGAGAGAGGGAAAAACATTGATGTGAGAGAGAAAGATCGATCTGTTGCCTCCCATATGCACCCTAACTGGGGAGGGAACTCACAATCTAGGTATGTGCTCTGACTGGGAATCGAACCCACAACCTTTTGGTGTATGGGGTGACACTCCAACTGAGGCACCTAGCCAGGGCTAAAGACAGTTTTATCTCTTCTGTATTTTCCCCTAGTCTGGATGCCTGTCATTTCTTTTTCTGGCCATATTACACTGCCTAGAACCTTCAGTACTACTGGTATATATATATACAATATATATAATCTTTATTGTTGAAAGTATTACAGATGTCTCTCATCCCCCCCACCCCCCCCCCCGACACACACACACTTTGACCCTCTCCATCCTGCTTCTGCCTTTCCTCTTAAGTACAGCCTTGCTCAGAGGGGCGATAGCAGGCATCTTCGCCTTTTCCTGATCACACGATGAAATCTGTTAGGCTCTCATCACTGGGTCTGACGTTAGCGTGTGGTTTTCACAGGCTTGTTTACCAGGATGGAGACGTTCTCCAGGACTGACGCTGGGTACTGACTCATGTTCTTCCTGCAGGAATTCAGATGACTCTGTGGTGTTTCTCTCTTAGCCGGATAATATGAAAGTTATGTTGATGTTCAAATGCTAAAACCACCCCGGCATTTCTGGGGTAATACTCGGTCATGATGTATGATCCTCTTTATGGGTTGTTGGCTTCCATTTGCTAAGATTTTATTAATAGTTTGTGCGCTCCTATTCCTGAGGGGGATATTGGCCTGTAATTTTATTGTGATGATTCTGCTTGGTTTGGGGATAGCATTTCATTCATTTTCTGCATGAGTTTATATGTAGATGGATATTTCTCTCTGAAATGTTTGGCAGAATTCAATAGTGAAGGTTTTGTGCTTGGAGTTTTCTTTGTGGGAAGTTTTGAAGACATAAATTCAATTTTATTATTCGGTTGAGGGCTATTCAGATTATGTTTTTTCTTGAGGTAATTTGTGTCTTTCAAGGAGGTTTTCTATTTTGTCCAGGTTCTAAAATGTATTGCTATAAAGTTCATAATATCTCCTTATGATGCTCTCTGTTGGTATATTGAGGCTTCAGTGTATTTTTCCCCCCACTTATCAATCTGGCCAGAGATTTTAAATTTCTCCAGCAACTAGCTTCTGGCTTCATTGATTTTCCTTTCTTCTTTCTATTTTATTGATTCCTACGCAGCTCTTTTATAATTTTCTTTCACCTGCTTGCTTTGGATTTCATTTGCTTTTCTTTCTCATTTTCTCGGGGTGGAAGAGGAGGTCATTGATTTGAAATCATTTTTCTTGTTAATATAGGCATTAGTGTTACAAATGTCTCCGTAAATATCGCTGTAGTTGCAACCTAGACAATTTTTAGGTGGTTTGTTTTCACTTTTATTCAATTTAAAACTTTTCTAATTTCTCGTTTGGTTTCTCCTTGGATCAAATATTTGGGGAGTTTTAAGATATATTTCTCTTTTCCATATTTAATTCAATTTTGTTAGAAAACCTCCCTCCCAGGTTTACTGAGCTATAATCAACATGTAACATATAATCAACATGTAACACTCAACCAACATGTAACACATAACATTGTATACGTGTAAGGACTAAAGCATGATGCTTGGACACGTGTGTGTGTGTGTATTGGGGAACAGTGCCCACACCCCCATCATTGCACACACTTCGTTTGTTTTCCTTCCTGTCTGGTGCTTGCGGCCCCCTCACCTGCTGGAGCTGTGGACGTGGGCACAGTCCTCCTGGGAGGGACTCCGCGTGCTCCTCCTGCCAGTGGGAGGTCCGAGGCTTTGAATCTTCTCTGACTTTGCGTGTGGCATCTGTGAGCAGCTTGACATATTGGACACGAGTGTGACAGCAGGGCCCTGTGAGCGGAGCCGTGTGCCGTGGGGCCAGCTGTGTGGTTTGTCTGGACACCAGGCCGGGGAGCCAGAGCTGACAGTCAAACACGGGGCCTTCTACCTCCGCTCCCCCGTGCATTTCCACGCTGTGTGTGTCTGCCAACTGGTGGGCATTGGGCACAAAGAAATGGTCTGAGCTGTCTCCCTCTCTTTACTATGTAGTCTGTGATGGCTCCCCGTCCCCCTGCCCCAAATGTTGCATACAGAGCAACAATAAAAATGTGTGTATATATATATAGAGAGAGGGGGGGGGGCGCACGCACGCGCAGATTTCACCCGTGTGGTCTCACGTTGAGTGATTTCCTGATCCCCATTCCCTCCCGTCCTAGCGCTATAATAATGCTCCAAGTATTCCCATTCCCATTCCCAGCGGCTGGAGACCATTCATCTCCTGCTTGCCCTTAGAGCGAGAGCATCCTTGTAGAATTTTATTTTTTCGATACAGCCTTCCAGATCCTAATGTTTTATATCTATCTGAAATACAGGTCTCCACCCGAGCTGAGAAGTGGTCGTTTTCGTAGTATTTTAGCTTCAGTATTAACTGTAAACAGACTTCAGCCTCCACCGGTGCTGGTTGGCCTTTGGGGTGGACCTGTCACTGTTCACGTGGGGCCACACCCGCCGGGCTCTGTGCGGAAGTGTAGACATTCAAGTTGGCTGAATGCTTTTTGGTATTCTCCCTCTTGTTAGAACAATAAGGGACTATCTTGTATGTGGGGTCACTTTCTAGTCAGTCACCAATAATAATAATTGTTATTTTTAAACAGAAACTGAGGCTTTTCGAAGAGCTTGAAGACACGTGGCTTCCTTATCTGACCCCCAAAGATGATGAGTTCTACCAGCAGGTAAGGCCTTCGGGATAGCTTTGTCAGTTTCTAGGGAGAGGAAGCAACCGCCGTCTGCAGAGGCTGACTGAGATGTGAAATGGTCCGATTTGGTCGTCTCTCATAACTCCTCATCACCGAGGGCAACGTCACTTCCTTCCCACCTGCTTTCGGCCGGGGACTTGGTGCTTTAGCGCAGCGGCTGGTTCCTTCCCACGTCCTCGGCTTCTGCTCGTTCTGTGTCTCCTGCAGAGCATACCCTGCTGCCACACGGCAGATTCTCAAGACGCCTCTGCACACTGTTGCCTGCTTTGTGAAAGTTGCCGAGATTTCCTTCCCCCACTTGCAGAGTTCATTGCCCTTCCCTGTGTGCAGCTCCGAGTGAAGGGCCTTTCCCAAGGCCCTGGGAGGTTTTAAACTTCATTTCACTCTACCTAGGCCCATGGTCGGCAAACTGCGGCTCACGAGCGACATGCAGCTCTTTGGCCCCTTGAGGGTGGCTCTTCCACAAAATACCACGGCCTGGGCGAGTCTGTTTTGTAAAAGTGGCGTTAGAAGAAGAATAAGTTTAAAAAAATGTGGCTCTCCAAAGAAATTTCAATCGTTGTCCTGTTGATATTTGGCTCTGTGGGCGAATGAGTTTGCCGACCACTGCCCTAGGCCACGTTCCCCTGGGCTTGGTTTAGGAGCGCCTCCCCAGGACTGGTTTCTTATTCACTTAACACCGTGTCTGACCGCTCTGTCCGATAGCATTCTCTCAGCAGCGTCCCCTGACCTGAGGGGAAGGAGTAGGATTTTCATAGGATGCGGTAGAATAGGGAGGACACAAAACCTCTGCTCCAGAGAACCTAGAATCCCACACCTTTCAGCCATCGATGAAGGCCTGGCACGTTGGCGATTTATATCTGAAGCACCTTTCCAAATGCCTTTTAAACGATACCATCATCATTTTTGTCGTTTTCAAGATCTCAAGAAATATATTATGTGACCAGACAACTATTAATATAATTGCATGACTGTGTACGCCCTGGAAAAACTTTAATGGGATTAAATGAAAAAGATTCCCGCCCCCCCTCCCCCCGCATATTTGGAAATCTGCCAACAGCTGTTCCAATTATCGCGTGGTATCTGATGCTCTGCGTGTACCTGTCCAAGACGGAACGTGAGCTGTTTTGTTGGACAGAATTAATTAATATTAAATTACTGGATGCTCAGTTCTCTTCCAGAGTTACATGCTGTTCTATTTAAAGAAGGAATTAACAAACTCTGCCCAGCACTTTTATGTATCTGGCACTAATCTAATTATTTTATAAATATTAAGAGAGGGCATTCAGGTTTGATTTTTTTTTCTCTTGCATTTTTTTTTTGAGATAGTGATGAGATTAGGTGATTGTTATTATATGTATTTGTTGTAATCAAATAAAAATTGCCTACATTTATCTTTGTAAATTTGAAAAACAAATTTCTTCTTTCTAAAGAAGAAAATTGAAGATTTTCTAGTTCACTATCCCAGAGATAAGCACCCTAAACTGTTGGCTATATTTTTCTCCAAGTCTTTTTTTTTTTTAATGTTATTGTTTACATATGTTCATTTTTGAAATGAAACCAGGCTCTGATTGCCTAATTATCATGTTACCAATTTCTTGTAAAATAGTCGTTTTGTGTTTGTTTGTTTGTTTTTAGTGTTTACCTAAAACAATATAAAAATTCTCCTAAAGTGTGTCATGTTACTACTTCATGACACGAATGCTGTACTATTTCCCTGCTGATGTGCTGCTGGCATTTTGGTGTTCAGTTTTTAACCATAAAACACGGTATAATGAATATTTTTTCAACTCGGTAAATGTCTCTGTTTCCCCACGATGAACTCTCTGAAGTAGAATGCTGTTTTTAACGTCGAGTATTTACATGTGATCCTCATGGTTACGTGAATGTCCCAGGTCCATAGAGTTACAGCTGTCAAATGTGTCAAATACCTGTGTCAAATGTGTCTTCTACGGTCTCCAGCCACAGTATGTATGGAACAGTGCCAGTAGGAGTGGGGTGTGTGTATGTGTGTGTGTGTGTGTGTGTGTGTATTCTGTCCATTCTTCTCTCTCTTTTTAAAAAAATATTTTTTATTGATTTTTCAGAGAGGAAGGGAGAGGGACAGATAGTTAGAAACATTGATGAGAGAGAAACATCAATCAGCTGCCTCCTGCACACCTCCTACTGGGGATGTGCCTGCAACCCATGTATCGATATATGCCCTCGACCGAACCCGGGACCCTTCAGTCCGCAGGCGGATGCTCTATCCATTGAGCCACACCGGTTTCGGCTTCTTCCCTCTTTTAAGCACTGAGTTCCTGGGAATAACTTAGTTTTCTCTAATGCTCTGTGTGAAGGCCCATCGCGGTAACACCGGAACTGTTTACCGTGCGGAGACAGTTCCTCACTCATCCTGCAGGTAGACCTGTGCCTCACCTTGGGACCTGTTCCAAGGAGAACCAGTTTAGCGGTCAAACTAGTGACTGCTCGTGGCACCAGAACTTTCTGTGCCCCGCTCACTCAGTGGCTTACACCGCCGCTCCCTGAGGCATACAAACAGAAAGTGTGACATTTCTCTCTTCGTTTTCCCATCGGGATAAACCAGGGCTAGAAACTAGAAATTCCGAACAGATGCCTGACAGCCTCTGTTCCAGGGTCAAGGCGTCCAACGCCGCTCTTGGTCGCTTTAAATTTACGATCGCAGCCCTCAGATGGGCAGGCCGAGAAGCCGGGCACGCCCACTGTGCTTTCCTGCCAAACCCACGTCCCCCCACCCAGACCTGACTCTGGTGTGTGCTTCTTCCACTGCCTTCCTGCCTCCCGCTCCCGGCATCAGCCAGGATGGGCCAGGTAACGCCGCGGTAACAGCAACCCCTCGCATCTCAGCAGCTTCCCCGGCGATGTTGCCTGTTCAGGTCCCACGCCACGTGTGTGCTGGCGGGGAGTCGCTCCCATTAACGTGGTCCCCGAGGAGTCCAGGCAGCCGGCAGCGGTGACTGTGCCAAACGGAAGCCTGTCCCGGAGGGTCTGGCGCTGACGATGAAGCGCTCCGGGCTAGAAGTGACAGCCATCACTCCTCACTGAGCGCAAGTGGTCCTGGGCGCCACCCGGCACGGGGCCAGCGGGCGGCATTCTGCACTGGGGGGCAGGGGCTGAGCCCAGAGCTAAAGACCAGCACATGCTCTTCCTAGCCACCGATTCCTTTTACGTGTTCACCGAGAAGGGTCCTTCCCCCCACCCCCGCCCCCAAATACCCTGAAGCTTAGTCATTATCAAATTCGCAGTCCTATGAATATATACCTTCTTTGTTTTTAAAAATTTTTATTGATTTCAGAGGTGAAGGGAGAAGGAGAAAGACATAGAAGCATCAAAGAAGGGGAGAGAGAGTCATGGATCGGCCGCCTCCTGCATGCCCCCTACTGGGGATGGAGCCCGCAACCTGGGCATGTGCCCTGACCGGGAATCGAACCCTGACCCCCTGGTTCCTGAGTCCATGCGCAACCACTGGGCCACACTGACGGGGCGACAGTATTTTTTTTTAGATTTCCCCTCCTGCTTACAAAGCAACATTCCTTTGCAAAGGCTAACACACCCTCCTTCTCGCTCCGCTCTGCAGTGGCAGCTGAAGTACCCCAAGCTGGTCCTGCGCGAGGCGGGCGCCGTGCCCGAGGAGCTGCACCGGGACGTGCAGGCGGCCTTCGCCACGCTGCACCAGCACGGCTGCCTGGCCCGCGACCTGGTGAGGATCCAGGGCAAAGACCTGCTCACGCCGGTCGCCCGCCTCCTCGTGGGCAACCCGGGCTGCACCTACAAGTACCTGAGCACCCGGCTCTTCGCCGCGCCCTGGCCCGTGCGGGGCTCCAGCGTCGCCTACCACACGGCCGAGATCGCCGCCGCCTGCCAGACCCTCCTCAGCCTCAACGGCTACCTGCAGCTGGAGACGGCGCAGGCGTGGGAGGAGCTGGTGGCCAAGGAGAGGGCCAACATCGACGAGGTGCCCGTGTGCATCGGGCCCGACTTCGGCCTGGGCATCTTCGACGGGCCGGACGAGGCGGACATCCGGAGCAGGTCCGCGTACAACGTGACCCTCCTCAACTTCATGGATCCCCGGAAGATGCCCCACCTGAAGGAGGAGCCCTATTTCGGCATGGGCAAGATGGCGGTGAGCTGGCACCACGACGAGAACCTGGCGGACAGGTCGGCGGTGGCCGTGTACAGCCACAGCTGCGAAGGTAGGGGACGCGCAGCCCCGAGGTGGGGGGGGGGGGGGCGTGCTCACAGGTTTGTGCATATGTGCGTGGTCCCAGGTGTTGCTTGTGTGTGTGTGTGTGTGTGTGTGTGCGCGCGTGTGTGTGTCCCCTTGAGGCTGGCCGCAGCGCGTCCCTGCAGTGCACAGCTGTGCTGTCGGCTCGCTGTCACCCGTGCACGGAGAGGACACCGTTGCGTGGCAGCGCGGCTGTCGTTTTGTCCCTGCCGTGCCCCCCGGAGAGCCAGGTGCCTTCGTCTCCAGCCCAGCGGCTCTAATTAACTCGCCGATGAAAAGGGCCGGGAGAGGCAGAAAGCTGTCAAGCCTGCACAGGTCCCCCCAGGTGCACGCGTCCCGTCTCGCCCAAATGTTTCACTGCGGTTGACATCCCTGTCTCGTCAGCTAGGGGGACCCGTTCTTGGCTTCATCCCGCTGTGACCCCCTGCCCTTCCCTGCAGAAGCCAGCGAGGCGGGCCCTGTGAGCAGGCAGCCCTCACTGTTCAGGAAGCTCTCTGGCCCCGACCCCCAACCCCAGCCCTTCTGCCGGGGTGAGGCCTGACGGTGCATGCGGCAAGCTTGTCCTAGCGTTTCCTGGAGCCCGGACCCCTCAGAGCACAGGCTGCGTTTGGTGTGCGGCCCGCCCGATCTTCCTTCTCTTGTCCAGTTTTTAGGGCAAACTCGTTCGTCCACAGAGCCAAATATCAACAGGACGACAATTTAAATTTCTCTTTCGATTGCCACATTTTTTAAACTTCAACTTCTTCTAACGCCACTTCTTCAACACAGACACGCCCAGGCCGTGGTATTTTGTGGAAGAGCCACACTCCAGGGGCCAAAGAGCCGTCTGTGGCTCGAGAGCCAGTTTGCCGACCACGAGTTCAGGGAGTCTTGGTTTTCAGGACTGTTAAGAAGGAAGTTCCCTCTGTCACACAGCGTGACCGCTGCCGACGTTCTGGCCCGCCGGATCGCCTGACCAAGGCCTACAAGACCTCAGAGTAGCCTGCTTGCTTGCGTATGCCTTCTATTACCTGCGTATTGAAAAGGGCTTGGAAAACCAGAGTTCTAGACGTCCCACGAGAGAACGAACTGGAACTTTAAAGGGTCACTGCTTTCTCACAACCGTTGAATTATATCTGGTGGTGGCTGTTAGTGATTAAAAAAAAAATGTTTTATTGATTTTTTTAAAGAGGAAGGGAGAGGGATAGAGAGTTAGAAACATCGATGAGAGAGAAACATTGATCAGCTGCCTCCTGCACACCACCCACTGGGGATGTGCCCGCAACCAAGGTACATGCCCTTGGCCGGAATGGAACCTGGGACCCTTCAGTCTGCAAGTCGACGCTCTATCCGCTGAGCCAAACCGGTTCCGGCTAGTGATCATTTTTGAATACTAAAATGACTTTTGGAAAAAGGGATTTGAAAAGGAAATTCCCCTGGCTGTCTTCAAATCCCTTACGATACCCCCATCACAGAATACCCCTCAGGGTCACCAGACGCTTTTCCAACTTCGCCTGACGCCTGCAGCCCGAAACCAGGAGCCTGTCTGCGGTGGGAAGTCTCACTGGCTGCCTTGGGGTCCCCAATAGCGAATGATGCCGACCCAAGACAGCTGCCCCCAGGGGAGGGCATGCTATCCTCCTGGGGAGAACTGGGGTCCCTGCTCTGTAAGGGCCTCGCCAGGCCTTAGGAACTGGCGCGCCCAGGAACTGCGGTGTGAGCCAGCCATGGAGGCGGTTCGCGTCTTTCCTCAGAGGCTTTGCTTTGACGAGGAGGCGGTGGAGTGTGGTGGCCACCGGCCACAAAGGAGCCTTTGTGCTCTGGTCTGGTCAGCCCGCCGCTTAATGGCCCCATTGTTCTCCCTGAGTGTGGGTGACCGAGCCGAGCCGCTTCTGAAATCTAGAATATCTCCCAGAAAGGAATTTAAATTCTCATGAATAGCTTCTGCGGTTGGGAGCAGTTAAGACTGGTCAAGTGCCTTTATCTATTGATGTGTCTAAATAAATAGATAAAGGTTTGTCTAAGATAAAGGTCTATTTATTTAGACACATGAATAGATAAAGGTTTGTCCTCCTGTTAGCCCCTGGAGGGGGGAACCGCAGGTTTGGAACCTGCAACCCCCCTGAGATTCCCCGAAGTCTCTCTAATAATAACAGCAATACTGGGAGCTCTTTTATTGAGCACCTACTATGTGCCTGCGAGCCACACTCAAGGGGCCAGAGAGCCGCATGTGGCTCGACAGCCGCAGCTTGCCAACCACAGACCTAGCAGAAGCCTCTCATTCCACCGATGGAAACATGGAGGTGGGGAGCTGGGACGTGGCCCTCCCACAGTCACGTGGCTCCTGAGTGCCCCCCACAGCACAAGGTGCCACCGCGGGAGAGGAAGCGGAATGAAACTGGGGTGTTGCTCAGGATCTTTTGGGCTGTGCTCCTAGCACCTGCTCCCGGGGCGGCCTTCCCGCAGGTTCATAAAGCACCGGCCACCCCTCTCCGGCTCACCCCCGCGGCTCGGGGTCAGGAGAAGTAATTTGTCTAGGATCCGTGTAATTATATCCTAAATTCACCGGCTTCCCGAGCAGCCCCAGTTAATAGCTCTCTGCGGTGGGATGATTGAGATGGGACAATCTTTAATCAGGAGCGGCTTTGGGAGCCGTGTGTAAATAGACAGAGTGTTTGATTTCTCTGGTCCGGCTCTGCCGGTATCTCCCGTCTCCCCAGGATGTGTGCGTCCGCAGGGAAGGTGTCAAACCCCGTTTCCTGCCCCTCGATCTGGGACGGGAGCGCCTTCAGAGAAAGGCCGTTACCGTTCCTGTCTGCTCGGAAGGACACGTCTTCCGCGACTCTGTCTCCCTGGGAAAAACAATTCTGAATTTAACGGCCCGATTGCCAAACGCTGCAGATTCTCGGTGTTAGTTTCTGGGTCTCCCCGTGAAGGGCCCGAGAGGAGGAGGGAGGGGAGGCGGGGCCAGGCCTCCAGCCGCCAAAGTGACAGGGTGAGCGGTGCACCTGCTCTCTCACTCCCCGGCCCCTGGGCAGCTTCCGGCTGTGGGTTCTGAGCCGGGACCCACTGGGTCTTCTTCCCTTTTCCCTTCCCACGTACCGAGTTCTCCATTTCCATCGCCCCCATGGCTGCGGAGGCGTGTGCCCCTGCCAGCAGCAAGCTTGCCTCCCGCTCCTCCCAGCCTGGAGAACTCTGCCCTGAGCCCGTGGCGGGAGAGCCCTTCAGGAGGATTTCCAGAACGTTCCGTGGCGCCTGTCATCTGCCATCACCTGGGGAACCTGTACGGAAAGAGTACCCCAGGTCTGGCCATGGAGGCCAGACAACACAGGTTCCCCATCCCAGACCCTGGAACGTCATAGGCGAGCCCTGGGCACAGACGGCATCGTTAGGCTTCACAGACCAGCCGACCACGTGCGACCTCCGGGTCCCTCCTGCCTGGGGATGTGCGACGTGGCTGGGGAGGGACCTGCTACCTCAGCCTCTCCGGGTGCGGGGCTCAGGGAGGGGAGAGAATAATTTGCGGGGCCAGAGTCTTAGAAGTCTTAGTGCTTGGCCAAGGAAACAGGACTACTTTTTTTTTTTTTTTTTTTTTTTTTTTTTTTAACGTGTGGCGATGATGAATATGTCCTTACACACCGGGGAAGTCGTGGACACCCGATATTAATGGCGTTATTATGAAACGTGGTACGAAAATCCAAGCGATATATTTTGATTACAACTGTCATCTCTTCCTTCCTGCTCAGGCCTCTTCGCTTCCTGGCTGCATTTAGCGTTGAAAACCGTCAGCCTATTCGACGACATTTACCTTTTATTAAAGCGAAACTAATTTTTTCTAAACAAGATGTAGCATTAAAAAAAAAAAAATCAAATTGACTCCTTGGGGGAGGGGGAGGGTTGGCTATTAAGGACTTACATTAAACTGCGCCTTACAAAAGTGTTTTGTTTTGTTTTGTTTTGTTTTTTTTAAATAGTATTTGGCGGAATAGAATAGTATTCCTCTGCTCCTTTCCAAAATAACCCGGGGCAGAGGAATGACTAGCAGTTGCTCTAGGCCTGTGGTCGGCAAACTGCGGCTCTCAAGCCACATGCGTCTCTTTGGCCCCTTGAGTGTGGCTCTTCCACAAAACACCACGGCCTGGGCGAGTCTGTCTGGAAGAAGTGGTGTTAGTGTGTGTGTGTGTGTGTGTGTGTGTTTGATACTATTCTATCTGCATGAAAAGAACTTGGAAACTTTTCTCTGTGCTCTTAAGTAATTTAAAGTGTATTTAAATTATGACTTCTTTGTGTGGTAGCATTCTTCTTTGTAATTCTCCTGAGAGACAGTCCTCAGACCACTTCCTCTCTATCCTCTGTGTGTTGTTTAGCTTTTCTATCTTTTCTGGGGTGGCTTTGGTTATTCATAGATTCCTAAAAACTACCAGTTTGATCTAGATTTTTCTCACTTATTTGCAGGGAATTTAACAAAATAACCTTTATCTCCTTGATATTCTCCCCTTGGTATCTGTGGTTATTTCCTCACCGTGTTATAAAGTTTTTTGATGAAAAAATAAATGATGCTGAAAACGTCCTAAAAAATGCGTGTTTTTAAAAATGTGATAGAAAAGGAAGCTATTTTCATTTAAATTTGAGTTATCCCTGAGGTAACTAGCTATGGCAGCCAGAACTTCGGATGTTTGAAACCCCTCTTTTCTGATCACCCCTTGTCTCGAGACAGGCCCGGAAGAGGAAAGCGAGGAGGACTCGCCACTGGAAGGCAGAGATCCTGACACTTGGCATGTTGGTTTCAAGATCTCCTGGGACATAGAGACACCTGGGCTGGCAATCCCCCTTCACCAAGGAGACTGCTACTTCATGCTCGGTAATGAGGAGCATCGAGCCATTTTGATGCTCTGTTGTCTAAGTGTTACATCATCGGGTACATACCACTGCGGGCCGGGCCATCCCTCCTCCCCCAACTCGGGCATTGCCCCTGCTCTGGGCTTGGGTGCCCTCCGCCCCCTCCCCCAGCGTGGTGCCCAGGCCCCAAAGGTTCTAGGACTACATGGTGTGAGAGGGGAACAAAAGAAGGCGATGCCAGGGGTCCATTTGCCTCTTTCTTTTCCATTTCTTTGAAAAATTACCTGTGTTTTATTCTTTCCTGAGAAGCAGGTTAGTAATGAAAATAGTAATGAATCCTATTGTCCCTTTTGACTTACCTGTTATAAAGCACATGCATTTAAAAATACACATTGGGTCCTTTGGGCTGTTGTAGGCGATGAACAGAAGAAGTGAGTGTTATTTTACAGAAGCTCATAGCCAAGACATATTCTAATCCTGACGTCCCAACTCCTGGCTTCAGATATTGGGTGGGAGAGGAGGGCGAAGGGGCAGCTGGTTCCCTCCTGACCCAAGCCACGCATAGCAAGAGGTACCCAAGGTTTGCATCTAGAATATATTTTCTTATTAAGATATCTCATTGGCCGAAACCAGTTTGGCTCAGTGGATAGAGCGTCAGCCTGCGGACTGAAAGGTCCCAGGTTCGATTCCAGACAAGGGCATGTACCTTGGTTGCGGGCACATCCCCGGTAGGGGTTGTGCAGGAAGCAGCTGATTGATGTTTCTAACTCTCATTGATGATTCTACCTCTCTATCCTTCTCCTTTCCTCTCTGTAAAAAAACAAAACCAAAAACAATAAAATATACTTTTAAAAAAGATATCACATTAGATTTGTACACAGCTTTCCTCCATCTCCTCTTAAACAAAACCTCCTCCAACAAGTAAAAACGCAACCCGGGTCCCATGCCCCCTCTTCTCCGCACGTTCGCAAGTCCACACCCTCCCAGCAGCCCTGTGCAGGGACCCGCGCCCCGCGCTGCTCTCTGAAACCTGAACCCCAGCGCCCTTATGAAAAGGGAACCGTTTAGCTCAATTTAGAATAATATATTGGTCTGCAGAGGAAGTGCGGGCGAGCCCCGCTGTCTAAGGAAATACCGGGGGGCGTCTGATGGGGGCGCCGGGTGCCTGCCGTAAATCCCGCGCCCACGGGTGAGCGCAGGCCCCGCCGCCGGTGCCCCGGGACACGCTTAACTGGCGTTGTCACGGTTTCCCTTTGAAATCGGAATCTCTGGCCTAATCTCGGAGTGAGACATGACCAGATTTGCCAACAGATTTACAATTTTCACTAATTTTCCGACCAGGGCTTCAGAACACACTCAGAGAGGGGGACAGACGCCGGCTCTGTCGGAGCGGGTGATTTACTCGGCCACAGCTGTTTTCCATAGACGGCGTGTAGCCGGGGCGCAGGGGCTTAGCGGCTGGGAGACACGCCGTGGGCTCGGTTCTGTGGGGGGACAGATTCTACAGTTCAAGGGCCATCGACCCAATTAAGTTACTTAAGCAGGAGCCTGGCGTGGAGCTGGGGTGTTTTAGGACAAAGGTGAGCGCTAGGTAAACAGTCAGAGCTAACCTCCCCCAGCCCCCCCCCTTTAATTTATTATTACTACTGTTTACCTGTCACTATTGTTTCCTTAAATCCAACTGTATCTCACTTTCTTTTTCTTTTCTTTTCTTTTTTCTTTTTCTTTTTTTTTTTTTTTTTAATATGTCTTATTGATTTTTTACAGAGGAAGAGAGAGGGGCAGAGAGTTAGAAACATCAATGAGAGAGAAACATCAATCAGCTGCCTCCTGCACACCCCCTACTGGGGACGTGCCCGCAACCAAGGGACATGCCCTTGACCAGAATCGAACCTGGGGCCTTTCAGTCCGCAGGCCGACGCTCTATCCACTGAGCCACACCGGTTTCGGCTGTATCTCACTTTCAAATAATACCTGCTGTTACTGGAACGATTGGCTGCTTCGAAGCTTCAGTTGCTCAGTAAAAATTCCATTGCAGGAAAAAAAAAAAAAAAGCAAAAGGCAAAACCCACTGAAACGCGTGCTCCTTCGTTGGGGGTAAAATAGTGCAGAGGCGGGGGATGTTCTGTTGGTGGGCACGTCCCCGCCGCCCTGCGCCCTCTGTGGGGTCCTCACAGTGAGCCCTCTCGGCGTCTCCCTCTCCCCTGGCACGCTGGTGCGGGTCCTCGCTGCCAGGCTTGCAGTGAGGCCGGACGCCATGTGGGGGGCAGTGCTCTGCAAACCCTGATTTGCATGCGGGACTTGGGGAGCCTGGGACCTGGGCGGAGGTTCTTGGAGAACCAAGGAGGCGAGCAAGTGTTGAACCTTGTGTTCCCAGCCTGCTTTGCGCCCCGAGTTTTGTCAGCTTTGCACCTCACTATACCACGTGTATGTTTTCATAGGAACCACGAGAAAGGTAAATCTTTAAAAAAAAATATATATATTTTTATTGACTTCAGAGAGGAAGGGAGAGGTAGAGAGAGACAGAAACATCAATGATGAAAGAGAATCATGGATCAGCTGCCTCCTGCATGCCCCAGACTGGGGATGGAGCTCACAACCTTGGCATGTGCCAGATTGGGAATCAAACAGTGACCTCCTGGTTCATAGTAAGATGCTCAACCACTGAGCCAGGCCTGCCGGGCCAGGGCAAGGGAAATCATACAGTTGATGCCTGAGAGTGAGAAGAGGTAGCAGCGGCTTGAATCTGGGCTCTGCAGGAACTTGAATCCGGGCTCTGCAGGAACCGCGGCCTCAGCTTGCTTGAGGCTGTTACTCATACAGCTGGTCAGGAGGTTCCTGTAAACGGGGTTGCCTGTCTGAAACCTCAGTACACCGTGCTCTGTTTTGGGGTCACCAGAAGCACACTGGGGGGCCAGGGGGAGGCCTGCAGCCCGGGGCCAGGAGGAGCAGCGGCCCCTGGGAGTCAAGCAGAGGCCCCCCTGCGACCCCCCCCTCGGAGCCCGTGGCATCTCAGTAAACCCGCCCCATCAAGCCCGGTCCTCACTCTGCCCCTTCAGACATTGCATTCCCTGAAAAAGCCTTTTCTTCTTTCCCTGTGACCCCGTTCCCTTCCTCCCCCCAAGCTCTGGCCCGCCAACCCAAGTCAAAAGCGCCTATGATTTACGGCCTAATCATAAATTCTCTGTAATTGTGCTTTATTGCCTCTCACGGGTCGTGAAACATAGGTGCCACGTTCTGCTTTCTGCCGGGGCGGGGGGATAAGACAGAGCGCAGTGAGTTATAACCCGGCGCGGGCGGCCATTCCGGGGAGAGTGCTCCCGCAGCCAGTGAGCGCCGCCACCTTTGTTTCCCAGAAAAGTGGGGACTCAGCAGGATAGTCTCCCCACCGGTCCTCACCTCTTGAGTGTGTATCTCTTCTCTGGAAACTCTCTCTAAACAATGCCCCCAAATGCTGACATTTTCAAGAATGGGTTTAACAAAAAATATATATATATAAATATTTTAAACCCACTCTTGAAAAAAAAATTTTTTTTAGAGAGGAAGGGAGAGGAAGAAAGAAACGTCAATGATGAGAGAGAATCATGAATCGGCTGCCTCCTGCACGCCCCCCACTGGGGATCGAGCCCACAACCCTGGCATGTGCCCTGGCCGGGAATCGAACCGTGACCTCCCGGTTCCTAGGTTGACCCTCAACCCTTGAGCCATGCCGGCCTGGCCAGAAAGTGGGCTTTTGGCCTCCATACCTGATTTTTCCGCATTCAGGAGCATTCGAGGGAGGCTGTGGCTTGTGGGATAAGCTCCGAGGACAGGAGCCGGAATGCGTTCCTGGGTGCTGGGAAGGACTTGCCCCTCTTACACTTGCTTAGCGTAGCCAGTTTTTTTGCTTCTTTCTGTGAGATTTGGCCTTGAACTTGACTTGAATGACTTGTGATGAGTCCCTGTGGAGGGCCAGGCTGGATGCTTGGATGTATTTTATTTTTCATAACAGGCCTATCAGCTGGGTACTCCCCGCCCCCTGATCCCCATGTTTCCCCCCAGAAAAGGAAGTTGATGGGGAGGAACATAGGACATCGATCTGTTCGGGGTATGAAAACGCCCCAGAATGAGTGTGTGTGACGGGTGCACAGTGCTGTGAACATCAGCAGCGCAGAGAGTGCACGCGGTGTACTTTCAGCGAGGGGCTTGTTTGGTGTGTGAATCACATGTCAAGAGAGCGCTTTTGAAAAAAGGAAACAGAGACTCAGAGAGGTGAAAAGACTTGTTCAGAGAGACAAACCTAGTCAAGCTCGTGCTTGAATCCAGGTTTTGCTGAGACCAAAGCTTCCTCCTGTTGAACTATATTTCATATTCCGGAACATTTATAACCTCCCCAGCACCTCACACAGTCCTTTGAACGTGGCAGGTGCTTTAGTAAGTAATTATTGAATGAATGAGTGAAAAAAATGAAACAAGGATTAGCTTTATTTTTAAATTTTATTTATTTTTTAAATTTCATGGCAGTACGTGTTGACCATCCAGGCAAGAGGAAATATTTATTCGGTTTTTGAAAGCTGCTAGCTGGGAAATGTTTTGAAGTCCTTCCCCACAACAGATGGCCTAGTTCACCTCATAGCTGGGTTTCTCCAGAGAAACCTTCTAGCTTCTTCCATGGTCCTCTGTTCCTTCACTGACCGGCATTTAGCTTCTTCCTGTCTAGTCCAGATACACACGGGACATCACAGAATTTCCCAAATGGACGCCATGTGTGGATCAGTCAGTACATTCTCGTCCAAACCTTTTATGAGAAAACCACCAAAGGTAACAGAAACGCGTGGGTCTCTTTGAAGCCGAGGAGGATGTGTTCCTAGGAGTCCCGTGATCCTTTCGTTCTCGCGTGTTTCACTCCGCCGGGCTGTGTTGGGATCATTCTGTATCCGGGCTGGGTGGGTGGAAGTTTTCTCTTTGGCCAGAAGTCTTAATATGTTGTCTTGGACTCTCTACCTGTCTGACTCTTAAAAGCATGAGCAGTGGGAAAGAATTTTTCAGGCTTTTAATTTGACTGCCTGTCCCCTATTTATTCTTTGCCATAAAGAGAGTGGAAGAATGACTATGAATGAAGCCCGTAAAAAAATGGATCCCCACGGAAGGCTTGAGCCCAGGACTAGACCAGGAACGAGTCTGACTTTCCTAAATCGTCAGTCCCTTCAGCACAAATATGTCAAACCCGCAGCTGGCGGGCCACATGCCTCCTTCGGGGCGTAAGTTTGACATGCTTGCTGTAGCATACTTCAAGGCCTGAATATAGAGCTCATGATGGATGATTCAGTAACCTCTTCCTGTGGAATAATTCTCCTAGGCTCAACAAACATTTAAAAGTGCTTAAAAGGATATAAATGATAATTCTTGGTCAATGTACCGTAGTGGCTTTGCCCTAAAATTCTTTCCCTGTAATTGGTCCTGGCACAGATTTTTTTTTCCTTTTCTTTGTTCACTCTGTTTCCTCCAGCACGTCATGCTTTTCCCATCATCTAGGTGTAGTATATCTCACTTACTGAGAGGTGACATTAAAAAAACTTAATGCCCAGGATGGCAGGGGCACCAACCAGTCAGTGCGGGATTTATAAATCCCCTCTGGACTGTTGTGATTGAGACAGAGTCACATCTGACCCTCTGGCGGTGAGCTTTTAGGGGGCACTACTATGTTAAATATGTTCCTGTACTGCCCACAGTGCTGAGTGCCTCGTGCACGTATCAGGAGCTTACCACGTATCAGGAAAGAACATCCTTGCTTCTTTCCTGGCAATTAGTCAGGAACCAGAGCCATCTTCCTCTATGGCCAAGGGGATATTAGATGGGAGATAGAAGTGAATAAAGAGGGAAGTCAAGCCCGGCCTGTGTGGCTCAGTGGTTGAAGGTTGACCTTTTAACTAAGAGGTCACTTTCTGATTCCCAGTCAGGGCTTTTGATCAGGTTTCAGGCTTGGTCCCCATTGTGGGGTGTACAGGAGGCAGCCAATCAGTGATTCTCTCCCATCATTGATGTTTATATCTCTCTCTCCCTCTCCCTTCCTCTCTGAAATCAGTAAAATATCACTTTTTTTAAAAAGGAGGGAAGTCAAAAGGTATGTGAAGGATCAGGTCTTAGGGCTTACGTGGCTGCTTCTGTTTCACTCATCACCTTTATTGGGAACGTGAATAGAGGTGATGGGTCTCTTACGAATAGGAAAAAAAGAAAACCAGCCCATTTGGGTTGTCCTGCAGCCTGACCTCACTCCTCCTCCTGTCTCCATTGCTCCTGCCCCCTCTGCCCGCCTGCTCTTAGGAAGTGTTGCAGCCAAATGGGATTAGCGTTCTTTTCCCATATTTAGAAAGCAGCAATGAATGATTAACCTCAAGAATCTATTCTCTCCACAACCCAACCACAAACGAAGCATTCCAAAAAAGTTAATTAAAAAGCGCTCACACTCAGGAGGGCGAGCTGTGTCCCCTGAGGCCATCTTCACCTCTGTGTGTGCTTTTGTGAGCCAGCTGGAACACACTCCCACGGGAACATGGACCTGAGGGGAGACACACAAACCTGATGGGCGCCTCTCCGGCCCTCGGCGATGGCTGGGTGCCATGGTTTTCACTTGGGCAATGAGCACCTCTTTTCGGAGTCTCTCTTCATGGAATATTTTCCGTTGGATCCTTCCAAAATAATGATACTTACGGTTCCGTTTTTCCTTGCTAAGTACAAAAGTAGTGATATGGGCCATCCAGATCAAGACGCCATGAATTTTAAGATGTCTCTAATTTCAGAGACGTTGACTCAGAAGAAAACTGTGTCCTTGGAGCTGATGAACTGTGGTGTGTGAGTCTCTGTAGAGAGCTTACAGACTGTAGGAGAGGGTAAAATCTAGAGCATAAAAGGCCTGTGGTCGTGACGCAGTAAGGCGCCACCAACAAACAACCACCAACAAACAACCGGTCACCAGCAGGTGCATGGAGCATCTCTCGAGGGCCAGGACTCGGGGTTCAAGTGGCGAGGCTGGGCTCACTTGGGGCTGGGTGGGGGGGCACACAGCAAAGAGGAGAGTGGTGGGGACAGGGGCAGGAGGGGGAGCGTGGGGGAAGAGCATGAGTTGGGAGCATCTCGGGGTGCCAGCAGCATCCACAGTGTGTGTGAGGCGTTGTGGGGCGGCAGACATGGCCCTGATGGCAGGCTAGGCCTAGGGGACCTTACACACACACGCACGATTTGATCATGCGCTGGGCCTCCCAGTGGATAATAAAAACACATCGTCATATCACCACCCAGAGACCCTATCAGTCATAGCTTCTTAGTTTAATTCCTTCCAGTGTTTCTTTCTATACGTGGGAATATATGTTTATTTATTTCTTTTATGTAATATTTTGTATCTTGTTTTCCCTTCAATATTCTTATGTCTTGACTATTTTTTCTTATTCAGGAATTCCTTGAAAACTGGGTTATTTGAAAGTGGCCTCCATAGGAATCCCCGACTTTTAGCCATTTAACTCATTCCCAGTGTTTTCTCTGTATGCTTCATTTGGGGTAGTTTCTATTTCTGTGTATTCCAGTTCACTGATATTTTCTTCTATAGTGTCTAAAGTGCTATAAATCTCATTCAATGTATTACTTTAGTTCAGAAATGATATTTTCCCTTTGAATAAGCTTCGTTTCATTTATATATTAAAGATACCTATATGAGAGAAAGTTGTATCTATCTTCAGTGTTATATATCATATGACTTTCATTTCTCTCTTACGTTAATTTTTGAATGGATACTGGACGTTGCAAATTTTAATTGCTGGGTGTCTGATTTCCTTAAATTCCTTTAAATAGTGTGAGCCTTCGCTCTAGTGAGTAATTATTATAAATTATTGGAAAAAGTTCCGATCTCTTAAGGCTTGCTGTTTGGCTGTGAGGAGCTCCAGCAGCCTTTACCTTAGCTGACGTGTAATGTGCCCAGGTAAGAAGTGTCCGTTCTCTGCATGGAACTCCCCTGTCGCTGGGGACAGCGCTATTCACGTCTCTCCTTTTGAAATACCGGAAGTGCCCCGCCTTGTGGAGCTGGTACCGATTTAGCCTGACGTGTGGGATCATTAGAATACACAATTACTTGGCCATTGTTTTTGTTGTTTTTACCCCCGCCGCCTGTGGTTTCAGGCACATTCTTCCGCTGAGGAACTCACCACCCACTCCATCCTTGGGTTGTGCGTCTGTAGGCTTGAGTTCTGTTCTTTGAGCCAGAGCTTTGCAACATGCTGAGCTGGTTGGTTTGTTGCCCGGAACACTGTTAGGGTAAACTTGATGCTTTGATTGGGAGGAGAAAGAGGCAGATTTTTCAGATGAAAGTTACTCGACCCCAAATGGCATGAAAGAATTTCAGCTTCTTCCAAAATCACGGGTAGAATTAGATCTGTCATGAGAAAGAGGATGAGGTTCAATCCATGCATTTTTTTCCCTTGGTGGGGAATGGGTACCATCAGACTACAAGCAAGGAAGGAAACCAGACATCCCGGTTGTTAAGGACAGCCCTGGTGTACACCTGTTGTGCCGGGATAATTATTAATAACATCCCATCTCACTCTTAAAAATGGCATGGTTTGGTTGGCCATCTTATTTATAAGGAATGGTTTAAAGAATGCAAAGTGATGTCGTTGTTTGCACGGTGGATTTACTGTTTGCTTTGTGTGTTGGTGAAGCAGGATAATGTGACTAATAAGTGTGTGTGGTTTTGTTTTTAATTTTTTGGTGTTTTTCCTGCAGATGACCTCAATGCCACCCACCAGCATTGCGTTTTGGCTGGCCTACCACCTCGGTTTAGTTCCACCCACCGAGTGGCAGAGGTAAGTGTAAATAAAAATGTGACTCAGACTTAATTGGACGTGGCAGAAGTGGTCGAATGAGCAATTTATCATAGAACTTTGGAAGAGCGTTTGATAGGAAAATTGCTTCCATCTACCTCGACTGCAGTCTCTGTTTACTTGCTTTTTTTCTTTTTTAGCGTTGAGTTGTGTTGGATAGATTTAGAGAGTGGGTTCACGGCGTGGGATAAGTATATTTTGCTTCTTTCGGGTTATATTTCTTGGCCAAGGTAAGTGCCTTTGGCAGGTGTTGCTAGTTGGAGGAGGCGTTCGTGCCTGTCAAGGTCAAAGGCAGGGGATGGCCAGAGGAAGTGGGATGGGTTTGTGCGCGTGTGATGACCAGACTAGTTGGGTATGGAAACTGAAGAGATGAGGAAAACCCTTAGTCATCACCCGGGATGCTGTGTGCTTCATTAGGAAGGGGTCCAAAGAGCAGAGGAGTTGTCCTGGAAAGGATGGGAAGTTGACCTCTTTATTGTACCATAGTGTGAGAACGTGGGTAGTGGAGGGCCAGGAGAGATACAACAAAGTGGCAGGGAATACAAGACCTTTTCAGCTCAGGCCATGTGGCTCAGTGGTTGAGCATTGACCTATGAACCAGGAGGTCATAATTCATTTCCGGGTCAGGGCACATGCCTGTGTTGTGGGCTTGATCCCCAGTAGGGGGCGTGCAGGAGGCAGCCAATCCGCGATTCTCTCTCATCATTGATGTTTCTCTTTCTCTCTCTCTCTCTCTCTCCTCCTTCCTCTCTGAAATTGTAAATTTATGTTTAAAAGACCTTTTCAGTGCTGAGACCCTATAGGCAGTGTCATGTCTTTGGTAATCAAGCAGCATATTTGGGGGACTGGCCGTGTTGCTGTGTGGCAGGGAGGGCGTCATGAGTGTCTATTTCAATCATGATGCCAGCACGCCCCTGCAAGCACTCTCTCCATTTTCTCCTTATCTTCCTAGCTTCTCTCTTCCGCTCACTCCTTCTCCTAAATAGCTGACACTCTGGTTGCTTGGCTGTTGTCAATAATGCTGTGAAGAGGAATGGTTGACACGTTTGGTTTCCTCAAGCCGCTCACCGTGTGAGAGTGGGTAGAGTGCAGAATGGAGCATGGCACCCAGCATGAAGCTTCCTGGGTGAGGTGACACGCAAGACATCACCATGTAGGGATGAGGGGATCTTAGGTCAGTTGAGGACAGCTACTGGGTGAGGGTTCGGGACTGGGGCGGGGTGGAGGTCCTGGGCTTATTGAGTGGACACCATGATGCTCTAAATGAAGTGTGAGCTGGTGAGGCTGGCTCCTGAATGAGACCAGCGTGTGAAAGAGCTGGGACGTCAGATTGGGTGATTGCGCTTAGGCTGGTTGGCAGGTGGGATATTGAGTATGTTGGTGGTGACCTATTTGGAGATATCTTTAGGAAAATAAATGTCATGGAGACATCCGTTCAGCCTGTTAAGATCTGAACTAAGGTAGTAGCAGCAGGGAAAAGGGAGACATTTCCATGACTGATGTGGGAGACATCGTGTCAGGCTTGGCAACTGGCCAACTAAAGTGGCAGGGGCAATGTAAGAGGGAATGAATGGAGGAATAAATGAACAAACAGATGAACAAATGAATGTTTCCCTGGATGCTTTCCATGTGCCTAGCTCTTGGATGACTCTGGGTGTGTAATGTGGGTGATTTGGGAATGACATTAGAGGAATCAGATCTGTGACATCATGGAAGACAGTAGTTTGTCCAGTTCTGAACAGGTTGATGAGTTCAACTCCATGTTTTGTTTTTTTTTTCTGGATAGCAGTTTGGAGTTCCCTTCCCTGTGCCCCTCACACTCAGAGATCCTAAGATTAAAACACAGAAACTTTATCATTCTGAGGCGTTTCCACGTCACATTATACAAAACAGTAGGAACTATGCAAAGAATTTCTGTGCCAGGAGGTTAGCTATGAACATTATTGCTAAGGAATCACTGTACATGACAAATCTATATATATAAAAGCCTAAGTGACGGTTACAACTGGCCAACTGGCTGGTAGCTATGATGTGCACTGACCACCAAGGGGCAGATGCTCAATGCAGGAGTTGCCCCTGGTGGTCACTGTGCTCCCACAGCCAATCTCCCATGGCCAGCCAACCTCCCACGGCCAGCCAACCTCCTGTGGTTTTCCCTCCACCCCCATCCCATCCCCTGCAGGCAGGCCCGATTGGCCCTGATCAGGACTGGGCAAGACAGTCTTAATTGGCCCGTCACTGGCCAGATGGAGGGACCCCACCTGTGCACAAATTCGTGTACTGGGCCTCTAGTATTAAAATTAAAACCAGTTTAGAGATGCTTGTTCCTCGTTGGGTCTAAGGAGTCTTTAGAGCTCGCTGTTTATTCTTCTAAGAAATCATGTCATTATATAAACAGACAATACCCGGCCATCGGCTTCCTCTCCCTGCCATCATTCACAGCAGGAGTTTGCCCACCTGACCTGTTTTGCTCCCACAGACCAGAGAGGGATGGCCTCGTTATTGATGCCCCTGTGATACCCAGGTTCTAAGTCACGTCTTGAATGGGTCTTGATGACACTTGAAGAATCTCTTCTGCCGAGGACTGCCATTGCAGAAAAGGGAAGCGAGTTCCTTGCTCTGTGTTTATCGCTGTAGTTTTCCTGCCATTGCTGCTCCGTTTTGTGTAGGTTCGAGTCAGTCCTACACCCTGGTTACCTTTCTTTCTCACATTTGGTTCAGGGCCTTGAGATAAAGTTAGTGCCCTTGACTTCCTGGTTAATTAGTTATTCATCCCAATAACTGCTTATTAGCTTTCTTTTACATTTAGGACCCATACAAATGCATGTCTACATACAGGGTCTTAGCCTGAGAGAGCCTACTGTTTAGTTTGAGATTGGAGGCCTACATAATAAAAGAGAGATGAGTGGCCCAGGTGAGGGAAAGCTAGTAGCACAGAGCCCAGTGGGCAGGCCACTGTAGTAATTCTTTTTAAGTTTTAAAAAAATCTTTACCGGAAGGTATGTTTTTATTGATTTTAGATCAAGAGGGAGGAGAAAGAGAGGAAAAAAAAAATAAACATCAGTGTGAGAGAGAAACATTGATTGGTTGCCTGTCATATGCAGCCTGACTGGGGATTGAACCCATAACCTGGATATGTGCCCTGACTGGGAGTTGAACCCACGGCCTTTCCATGTACTGGACAGTGCTCCAGCCAACTGAGCCACACTGGCCAAGGTCACTGTAGTGATTATGAAGGGAAGGAGTATAGGCTGAGCTGTGAGGGTGACAGGTGACTGTACAGAAAGGGGGTACATGTGAACAGTCCTACAAAGAGACGTGGAAAACTTGGGAAAACTCTGGATTTCTGGGTCTGTCCGCAGTGCTCGACGGGGACCCTGGATTACATCTTGCAGCGCTGCCAGCTGGCTCTGCAGAATGTCGGCGATGTGACAGATAGTGGGGGTGTCGCCCTGAAGTCCTTAGAGCCTGCAGTTTTGAAACAAGGAGAAGAAATCCACAACGAGGTGAGGATTTAAAGAACCGTGAAGGGTCCGAGACCCCGTCCTACGTGCAGACTCACAAGTCAAGCTGCCATAGTGTCAGGCGAGGGTATGACATGCGACTCCCAGAGACAAGGGCAGTTGATTACTTACAACAGCAGCCGTCGCCAGAGACTCGGCACTTCTGTGCCAGGCCTCTGTTCCCACAGGGCAGTGCAACGTGGGCCAGATAGCATGTGCACGTGGAGGGATTGCATTATAGAAGAGGAACCCAAGCTGAGGGAGCCCGAGTCTTTTATAATAGGCAGTGAGCACGCATCACTTTGCTCCAGATCAAAACTCAGTCTTTGTCTTCTTAGTCTCTTAGCAAACCTGCCCTTTGTTCCAGAGGGAGAAACCATGTCTTCCAAGCCCATACAGACGTCTACACCAACATCCTTGAAATGAGAGCCTGAAACAAGGGACAGTCAGGTCCTTGCCTACAACGCAGACACACATGAAGAACAGTTTCCCAACAAAGCCCAAGTGCTCCTACGGTCCACCCTGAGTTGAGGGTGGACCGTAGGAGCACATGTCAGTGCCTTGCTCTCTGTTCATTAGTTCCATTTCTGAAGTCTGTGAGACCCACAGGTCTGGATCTCATGAGTCAGTTTTGCAAACTTTATTGTTCTCATTAGCACTCTTTCCATTTTTTCTTCATCTTTGGACAATATACACTGACTGGCCGGATTATTATGATCTTTGAACACATAATAACCTGGCCACTCAGTATATATCCTATATAATAAAAGGCTAACATGCAAATTGTCCTGGACTGGGAGTTTGACCAGCCGGCCAACCGCCCATGTCCCCTCCCCCTGGCCAGGCTGGCAGGAACCCATGAATTCATGCACCGGGCCTCTAATATATATACACAAACTGAGTAGCCAGATTATTATGCATTCAGAGATCATAATAAACTGGCCACTCAGTGTACATCTATATCTATATTTCTATCTATACCTATATCTACATATAAGTAATATAGATATAGATACGTGTGTGTGTATTTTTTTTAAAAATCTATTTAATACAGCTTTTAAATCAACTCGTCTTTACATAGATACAGGTCTTTAAGAAGGAAGCTGTACATTTCCACTGGAAATGGAAAGCTGCTCTTACTGGCCAAAAGAAAAAGGAACCAGAAGAATATAGCTGGCGAAAACAGAGCGTGCCATTAAATTCCAGCAGCTGGTCTTGCCGGGAGAAGGCTCTGAGCCTAAGGTCTTCATTCTTTATGTTAAGAAGGGAAATTAGGGCACAACTTCATACATTTTCTAAAAGTCATTGAATTCTGCACATGAAATGGGTGATTTTGTAGTGGGTAATTTACACCTCAAAAAAAAACCCAAAACACACACACACACACACACACACACACAAACCAACCCCCCAAAAACACCCAACTATTAAAAAGGAAAATGTCCAAGCCCCATGCCCACCCGTGCCCACGCCTCTCTCATGGAGCCAGCCGTTTACTCCTCACAGAGCTCTCCCCGTGCGTGGAAGCAGTGCCCGAGAGATACAATCTCGGTGGGCATCGGAGCCACTGGCACGCACTTTATCCCGCTCCATAGCCCGACCTTTTCATCCCAGTGTTGTGGAGAGAAAAATATTACAGGATTGTAATCAAATACCACCCTCACCAGTCCCCAACTGCCAAGAGAAATTGCTGGCTTTTTTCTGAAAATTAATTAAGGAGGAAAAAAAAAATAAATAAATAAAGTCCAGCTTCTTGCGTATGAGTTTGAGTTAGAAAAATATATATATATATTTTTTTAAATGCTGGGTTCTCCCCTTTCCCCCCTCTTCCCATCTAAACTCTGGGGATGAGAAAGGAGAGCTGTGGGTGGACATTGCACAAAAACCAAAGGGTGAGGACCCAGGACGGAAGCCTTCTTAGATCAGGGCTAAAACAAATCAGTCTGACCCTACTGACGGCCCGATAAAGTTCAGGCGTGGGCACGGGTGGGCATGGGGCTTGGACGTTTTCCTGCTCGGGGAGGCTGACTGTGTGGTCCTTGAAGTCCTAGGCCTGTTGCCCTGCTCACTTCCTAGTCTCAGCATCTAGCAAGCGCCTGGCATGTTGTAGGTCGTGCATTATTAACCCGCTTACTCCTCACTGCAAACCTGCGTGGTCGTTCTTGGCCATAGCAGGAAGGAAAGGACATTGTTAGTGTTTTTTGCCACTCTTTGTACCCGTTGTCATCTGCCCGACGCTGAAAAGTGAACACCTGTGTGGCTCCATGGGGCTGATGTCCGCGTGCCTCCACAGTTAACGTGACGCTGCTAATCCGGGCCCACAGCTAACCTCTTTGCTTATTTTATTTTTTATTTATTTATTTAAAATATTTTTATTGACTTTTTTTTTTTTAGAGAGATCGAGAAAGAGAGAGAGAGAGAGAGGGGTGGGGAGAGGGAGAGAGAGAGAGAGGAAGAAAGAGAGATGGAGACAGAAACATCAATGAGAGGAAAACATCATCAATTGGCTGCCTCCTGCACGCACGCCCCCACCTGGGGATGGAGCCCACACCCCGGACATGTGTGAACCGGTGACCTCTTGGTTCCTGGTTCCGCTGAGCCTCACCAGCCGGGCACCTCTTTGTTTTAAATCAGAGAAACTTCAATTGGATATCTCCCCATCCCTGTCTGTATTTTGGGCTTCATGCTAATCTCTAAGAAAGACATTGAATGGGAGCATACTTGGATGATACCTTCCCCATCACACGTGGTGCAGGCTGTTGCACACTCGAGGCTCTCAGTATTTGTAGTTGATTGGCTTACAGCCGCCTCACGTCCACCTGGTGGATGTGACTGCAAATCCCTCCGCAGCCGGGGCTGGGCCGTCCCCCTGAGCATGGAGACCACCCTGCCCCCCTGGCTTTGCAGAAACACTTGGAGCCTGCACTTCCAACTGGGAACTGGGAACTGGTCAGACTGGGCTCCTCCCACCCTCCCTCCTCCTCCTCCTCCTCCTCTTCCTCCTCCTCCTCCTTCTCCTCCTCCTCCTCCTCCTCCGCGGTGAAGTGTCTGTGGGAGGACTGAGCAACAAAGCCCTTGTCCTCGATGTCAGCCACAAGGGCCTTATAACCACCCGCTGCTCTTTGCCGTCCGCAGGTCGAGTTCGAGTGGCTGAGACAGTTTTGGTTCCAGGGCAGTCGCCCCCGGAAGTGCACCGACTGGTGGTGCGAGCCCATGGCCCGGCTGGAGGAGATGTGGCGGAGGATGGAAGTGGCGGTGAGTGCGCGGGGCCTGCGCCGCCGGTGTCTGGGGGGCGCCCTGTGGATTCTCGGGTCACGTGGGTAAACACGTGTGTCACTTTTTTGAATGGTTGAGTTAGGTTCCTTTCGGGAAGGGAACGGGGCAGCCAGGATTTGATCAATGTGACCTCGGTTCCGTTGAATGAACATCCTTTGAACGTCCCCTTCCCAGAAGGCGCTGGTAAGGATGAGGAGAGAGCAGGGTAACAACGGTATCTAACATACATGTGTCTGCACTTACATATGCACCAGCATTATTCAAAGGGCTTTCCCTCTACTAGCTTTTAGGCCCCTTTCAACAGTCCCGTGAGCCACAGAAACTGTGGTGAGCCTTACTTTCTAGATGGGAAAACCGAGGCCTAGAGGAAGGAGTGCCTCCCCCAAGGTCCCCAGCGCCCAAGGTCCCCCAGCCAGCGGCCTGGCGAGATAGAATCGGGCAGCCTGCTCTGCAGCTTGTGCCCGGAACCATCCCCTCCGGGTGAAGGCGGAGGGAGACACGGGCAGCCCAGGTGTTGCGTTGGCTTAGAGCAGTGTTCCCCAAAGTGCGGTACGCGTACCCCCAGGGGTACGGGAAGAGTTTGGTGGGGGTACGCGTTGCACCGGAGTTTGGTGGGGATATGCACTGCACTGTGCTTAGCTGCACCTAATTCTACGTTCTCATGAATACGAGGGGTACTCAGCGTTACGAACATGATAGAAGGGGTACACATACGTCAGAAGTTTGGGAAACACTGGCTTAGAGAAACCCTGTGAGGGAGGTTTTCAGATCACAGACCGGAGGCGGGGGGCCTGCATTCAGACCCCGGGTGCTGGCACTGCTGTGACCTGCCGATGTGGCTTGGGGGAGCTTGACTGGGGAGGCGGAGGGTCAGATCCGCGCGTGGGGGGATTTAGGCTCCAGCAACTGCACAAACAAGATCAGAAGTGGGGAATCGGGGTAGCGTGAGACAAGGAATTCAGGGGATTGTAAGTGGACAACTTCCTGATTTAGGATTGGCAGATGAATATGAAAGGTACTCACTGAATTTTTTTTAAAAAAGATATCTTTATTAATTTCAGAAGGGAAGGGAGACGGGGGGGGGGTGGAGAGAGAGAGAGAGAGAGAGAGAGAGAGGGAGGGAGAGAGAGGGATATCAATGATGAGATGGAATCATTGATCAGGTGCTTCCTGCACGCCCCCCACTGGGGATGGAGCCTGCAACCCAGGCCTATGCCCTGACCGGGAATCGAACCCCGATCTGCTGGTTCATAGGTTGATGCTCAACTATTACATCAGCTGGGCAGAACTCACTGATTTTGTTCAAAATGATTTGCAGTTGCTTTGGCTCAAGTTTTTGTTTTTTTAAAGTAAAAACCTTTGGTCTCGTGAATTCATCTGAGAAATCTCGTTAGGATGCTTGTATTTTTCACTTTTGTGGCGATGCCGCAGGAGGAGGGGTGTCTGCTGTTTACCTTGTGAGGCTCGTGTGAGAGATGGTCTTGGGACTCCTCCAGGGAGCTCGCCGGCTGTGGGCGGAGCACCGCCCAGCCTTCCAGGGGGATGAATGGCCTCAGTGTCTGCCTCCAGCCCCGGGACGATCACTATCAGCAGAGGGGAGGTTGGGCCAATCTCACTTCCAAATTAAATCTAAGCGTCGTCGCTTCAAGCCCTTTTTAAATGGCTTTGAACAAACTCATACTAACTTATTTTTGCGGTTAGAGGAGAATGATCCTTGGAAAGGTCCACGCTTCCGTGGTTCTGTTTGTGCAGGACCAGGTTTCTGGGGTTTGTGTACTTGGCCCTGGCCCATCGGATTCCTGCCTTGCACCCAGCCCGCCTCCTCGTTCCCAGTGGCAAGCAGTAGGGGGCAATGTTGAGCTGCCAGTCGCCTGCCCCCCCGATGCTGGCCCTTCAGGAAAATGCACACAAACGCACCACTGTCGCGAATTATCCCCGTTGCTCCATGTTAGCTGTAATCTCCCAGATTCCATAACACAGGAAATCAGTTGTGGGTTAACAAATTCAACAGCAATTTAACATAAAAAGTGCGGAGTTTGGTGCACATTTGGATCCGATAGCATTAGACTAATGGAAACGGCGTTTCTGAGCGTGCTCACGTGGCTTCCAGGGAACATGCTACTCAAGCTTATTATCCCTTCAGACAAACGGTTCTTCTCTATCTTTACGCTTTTTTTTTTTTGCATCGTAAAATCACGTGTGTGTGTGTGTGTGTGTGTGTGTTGTGGAAAAACTTCTCTGATTAACATGGCATCCATCTCTCTGGATGAGAAAATAAAGCAGAGAACCTCCGGCCACGTGTACGTTATTCCCCTCTGCTTAGGAGGCAGGCAAAGAGCCTGGTGCTGTGATTTCTCTCTGTCTTTGTGTCCTTTTTTTTTTTTCTTTTCTTTTTTCCCCTTTGTGGTTGGAAGGTGTGGTCTCAGGTAAGATAGGGAAGAAGAATGGAGGATGAGCTTTGAAACCAGGTCGCTGCCACAAGCGGTCATTGCCTCACACGCCCTAACCCGTCACCTGTCTCAGAAAGCCGAGTCCACAGTCTGTGAGATCCCCAGCCTCGGCTGCACGGGTCTGGCTGGCACTGGGATTTTGTGTGTGTGTGTGTGTGTGTGTGTGTGTGTGTGTGTGTTTAATTTTTTTTTTTATCACGCTGTTTATTCCTGCCATTTCAGTCCCCAAGGAGAGTTTTACTGTCCGCACCCTCTTGTGATGTAAATGCGAACCCTTGCGTGTGAATGGCATTCTGATAAAATATCTAGTCTCCCTTGAATATTACCTCCCGGATTAACCCCAGAGCAGCCTGAGGTTTTCTTCCAGCCCAGGCGCCGCGCCTAACCTTCCCTCCCTGGGCTCTGCGCTCAGGAAGGCTCTCTGCCCCCGCAGCCCCCTTCAGACATGTGCACCTTCTGCTTTCTCCTAAGTCAGCCCCCGCCCCACACGCAGGAGTCCGTGTGACCAGCAGACTCCCCGGGCCCGGGGAGCGTTACCATTTGAAAGGAAGCGCCCCCGGCTGGCTCCCTGGGTGCAGAGAAATCTGAAAAAATCCGCGGAGCAGCGGCCTCCTGCGGGGCCGGGGCGGGCTGCAGCCGCGATGGAGCCGATAGGCCCCCGGTCTCTCCGGGCCGGTATCGCCGCCGCCGCACTGCCATTCACTCCGCCTCCGGGACGGCTCGCCGCCGCCGGCTTCCCGGGGACCGGAGTGCCGGGCGCCCTGTCCTCTGCTCCGGTGACATTTACTCGTTTCCTTCCGCCCGTGCACACGGTTCTTTTCAAAGCTCCGTTTGCTGTAACGCGATGGCGATGTTCTAGAGGAGCTTTCAGAGCAAACGTTTGCAGATGGACTGAGAGTTCTACACCGGAGAGAGAGATTTTGCTGCCCTCTTACCAGGGACGGGATGCTGATGGCTCTGAGTGCTCCTGGCCTGACAGTGCTCCCTCCCCCTCACGGACCTGGGCGGGAGGAGCCCGGGCTGGATTATTTTAACGTATCCGCTCGGGAGCCGTGTACAACACAGCGTGTCCTCAGGCTCGGGGGCCGCAGGCTGCATCTCCTTCTCCCCGTTTGTGCTCTAACTTGGGCGCGGGAGCGGAGCGGGCGACGTGGAAGAGGAGGGGGTGTTTTATTTCATACCGTTACCCGCTCCTCGTGGTTAACAGTTTTAAGAGAGAGTGGCACCCAGGAATGTGCAGGCCGTCCTTTACGAGCCGTGGCGATGGTTTAATTTGGGGATGAGCCATTCCCTTCTCCCGCGGCACTCCGGCCTGCGTCACCTCCTGGCACAGCTCACGCCCGGAGCCTGCCCGCTGTCTGGTGGGCCCTTCTCGGTGTAGGCTGTGCAGTCGGAGGGTGGGAAGCTGGGGGGCCGCTTGTTTGTTTTGGAGAGATTGATGAAGCTATCCTCACGGCACTTGAGATGGAAATCTTGGGAACTGGAGAGAAGAACAGGGCTGCTGTCTCATACACCGAGACGCATCCAGAGCGTGCTGGTCTCTGCTGTCACAGTATAGCTCCGCGAGCCGCGTTCATTTTAAACTTCCTTTTAGGATGAAAGGCTTTGGAGGGCGCGAGCAAGAAAGTGTACGAATACATATCCATATTTTGTCCTTCTCGATGGTGAAGTCACTGACTTAGGTACGCACGTGTGCATATGTACTGGTCTATTCACGTTTTGGTGCTGATGCATACACCACCTTTTATTTGCTCACGTCGCCCTGCCTTCTGTTTCTTCAGAGCTAAGCATTTCTGAAACAGGAGCAGGAATGTATTACAGTCATTTAAGATCTGGTGTGAGGCGGCTGGCGGTTGGAAATTAGAATTTCAATTCCCTTCTCCATTTTTTGGGGGGCGGTTTCCGTGCTGAGTGGCCCGGGATAAGCAAAGACTGGGGGCAGGTAAATAGTCACAAGCACCTAATAATTCAAATTATGTACGCAGACACGGAGTTTTGGGACCAAGTGTTTAGCTTTGGAAATTTGGGGGGAGAAAGGGGAAAAAGGCACTTTTCAGCCTCCAGTGGCTTACAACCCTTGGCTCTTACATTATTATTGTCTGCAATGTGTTTACTGAAGGCTGGTGCTCCCACCCACTCCACTCCCCACTCCCCACTCCCCACCCGCCACCCCACTCCCCACAGCCACCGTGTTCCATCAGGACTGAGCTGTCGGGGGCGAAACGGCATGCTGAATCCAGCAACGCATTTTGAAACACATTTTGATTTCTTCTCCTTTGCCTGTCCTTCTGGATTTCTCTCCGATTTCCCCAGTTTTTTCCCTTCGCTGCTGCAGACTCCGTCATGACTGGAGAGAAAAAAAGGAAAAGTGTCGTGTGCCCTGTCTTTTTGGGGGAGAAATTTACAATTCTGAGAGAATCCGGGCTCGAGTCGTAGACACAGAACGCGCGGAGAGCACAAAGGAGCGCGTTGAGGATTCTCTTTGAAGCGTGTCTGCAGCTGGATAAGGAAGAATTTAGAGCTCCTCTG